TTATTGCAATTTATGGAAAAACATGTTAATGTTTCAAAATTGAAAATAGTTAAACCCAGGTGCGATTGCTGGTAGCAAGCAATTCCAACACACAGTTGTGAAATAATCCAATAGAGGAAAACGAATAGCTATCATATTGTTGTCTCCTTTTGCCTCCGGTAAACATAGAAGCTTACACAAACATTAAAGCTGCAAAAAAATAGATAAATGACCAATATTTCATTTTTTTATTATAATGTATACAGGGGAATATAGAGCCCTTTTAAAGGTCAATTACACTTCTACAAAGCTATATGAAACTTCCTTATCTGCCCTGAAGGCAAGGGGAATTCCTATAGCTACACTTGAGCAAGTTATTATTATTATTATAAGGTCCCTTTCACAAGATTGGTCTGATCAGGCCCAGCTGTCCGTCCCTCCATTCGCCTCTGTGGAGCCATGGATGTAAATGGACTTGTGTGCATTTACACCCACCTACCTTCAATATGATCCACTAAAAACAAACAGAATGGGATTCATTCCCCTCTGCCTGGGTGGATCGGAATGGAGGGCAGTCGGTTGTAAACAGACAGTTGGTTCATTTACACCCAACCACTCTAAGAGCAGAGCAGCCTGTGTTTGTGTCTGCACTGCATAAGCAGAGCAGACACAGACCTGTCATCTGCCTGCTCTGTGGGCAGATCCCCCTCTGAGCAAGCAGATTCCACAACATGTAAAAGGGGCCTTACAGGTACCTATAAAGTATAGCACTGTCTATTTACGCAGTGCTTTACACATATATTATACATTCACGTTAGTCCCTCAAGAAACTTACATTCTAAGGCCCCTAACTCACATATACACATACTAGGGCCAATTTACAGGAGCCAATTAACCAGCCAGCATGTCTTTGGAGTGTGGGAGCAAACCAGAGTACCTAGAAGAAATCCATGCAGGCAGAGGGAGAACATGCAAACTCTAGGCAGGTGGTGCCAAGGCTGGGGTTTGAACCAATGACCCTAGTGCTGCAGAAGTGCTATCAACTGTGCTGCCTGTTAATAATTGCAAGTTTAACGCAAGCCCTAGGATTGAATGAATTGTTTGGCAAAATGTTAGGACCTTTGTCGGGTTTTACTGCTCTCCTTGTTCATGATGGTGATAGTTTCTCTTCTTTTCTGGATTACAATGATCACTAGGACAGGAAGTGAAGGGAAATTTCTCAAATGAAAAAACAGACAACAGTAAACATCCTTGGCTGCTGCATATAAAAAGGACTAGAATCCCTGTCACAGTACTGTTGATTAGACATACCCTAATTTTCTGCCCTGCAGACATGGATTGTTCTCACACTTGTCAATCCACACATACTGCAAGGGTGACAGACTCAACTGGTTTGGCCACAGCAGGGACACCCAGTAACAGTCAAAGTATATTTGTCCTGCACTTTTGTTCATTCAAGCCATACATTAAACTCAGGTCAATTCCTGACTAATAGGGTGAAGGGGTAATGGACTTAACAATAAATTCAAACTCCTTCAAAACAAACAGGTAACTCATGTATCTTTTTCAGTGCTCAGTCAGCAGTCAGCCTTTTCACCCAGCAGCAGGCTTTCATAGAGAGCACTAAGCATCAGTCAATTCACATATACAAAGGTCTTTGCACAGCTAGGGCTAAAAATGAGGTCTGATCAGGTGGTGGACTGGCATTTGGAAACTTGGGCACTGCCCAAGGGCCCAGGGTCAGTAGGGGGCCCCATGAGATGCCCCTGGTACCTTTTTCATAGGCTTTTTTAGTTTGGGCAAGGACACAGGGGCCCCATGATCCCCTATTGCCTGGGTGCCCCATGAGTTGTCAATCCGCCCCTGGGTCTGACTAATATGTGGGATGTCAACCTAGCCAGCCTTTATCCCACCCAAAGCTCTAAAACGTTTCCAAGCTCCAAGAGCTGTTTTTCATTGCTAGGATGATGGTGGTGGGGGTCACACAGTGCCAATGGTTGTTATGGGGCAGGTGGCTGCCTCGGTGGTGCCACAGCCATGAACCTAGATTGCACATATACATCACCCACAATTCTACCAGCTAGTGCCTTATAATGGCTAAACAACACGTTTTGTAGTTCTGCTTTAACATTTTAGAATAGAAAAAGAGTTTCAACTCTGTAAAGGTTTTTTTCTTCTGTCAGTGTCCCCACTAAGGTGATTCACCTTCTAAATTTGACAATTAAATATGGTGTTCCCTACCCTTATTCAGAGACTTCCCCAAAATGCATATAAACACTTTAAACCCCAAAAAGTGTCCCGGTGTCACCAAAACATGTGTAGAGGGAAGATCTTTCTCTGGGGACACTTGTTGGAGAGCCAACTGTCTAAGACAGGATTTCCCTTACCTTGGTTAGATTTCTCTCACTTCCTGATATGTCTCCAGAACATTTAGCAAAGGGAAATCTCCTCAATGAGACACAAATGGCAAAAACGTGATAGATGTCTAAACCCTTCCCTACTTTATCCAAATCTAAAACAAAACAAAAGGTTTTGCTTTAGATACATGTTAATTACTTTCCATCACTATCATGTAAGTGTAGTTCACCAGTGCAAAAATGTCTTGGAACTCTGTTGGTAGCATAAAATCTCTGGATGCATCACAATAACAGAAAAATTACAGCCTACCAATACAAGTAGCATTAAAGGAAACCTTTGCCAAAAGCAATGTTGAAGCTGCCATTGCTTACCTCTATCCCTTTAAATCCTATGGGACTTTTCACACCACTGTGCTGCAGGTGCTTGCAGCATCTTTGGTCTTTTCAAAACTACACTAAAAATGCAGGTCCTTATTGAAAGCATGTCAAAAATGCGTTGCGTTGGTACATTTTTTGAGTCAAGTGTCCAAGTTTCAATGGTGCATGCTGTGTAATACACACGCAGAAAATGCACCAGAAACACGGCAAACATGCATTTTAAAGTGGTTTTGCATTGAATTAGTGTGAAAGCAACCTAAAAGCATAAGCAAAATGTGTTTGTGTATTCTCATGACTGTTCCATTCAAGGACTTTACGAACATTTGGCATGCTTAAATCAAGTTACATGTAATAAAATCCAACCATATTAATGGTCTTTTAATAGCATATGAACATGTTAATATGCCCCCTTTTTTATTTGCAGTTGAGCAGGTTAAAATGTTCCCAAGAAAGCAATCACTTTATGCTCTTTAGTCATATTTTTGGGAAAACTATTAGGTTAAAAAACATTTTTTAGAGCATGGTCAAATGTTGAGTTGTTTAAACATTTTATTCTAGTGTTTGATTATGCTGGTATTAAATCAAAAAGCATACAATGACCTATAATTTTGAATAAAGTTTCTGGAAGTGTTTTTTTTTTTTCCCTTTGTAACGGAGTGTGATTATCCCCGTTCAACCTGTTTAGAGCTATTTTTCAAAGCACCCAGTTAATGTTAAAGGTTCAAAGAATGGATTATTACCCAAAGCTACAAATGTATTTGTAATGCACAAGACCTGACCTTAATCAAATCAGCTGGATTGAGAAGTTGTTCTGTGTGCCACAGCTTAATTGCATCTTTGACCTCCATTACTGTGTAGCTTAACACAGGAAACCCCAGTAGAAATCTAGAATAAGCCATATACATCATATGCCAAGGTAATTTTATTTCATAAAAGAAAACAAATGCACATCGTATTCATTAAGGTGGAAATGGCGACAGCCTTTTAAGCAATATCTGACAAGTCTCGCTTGACCCCATTTAGAAATGAATCTTCCAACACATTTCTGGAGCCCCCTAAAGTTAATGACGAGCACTATATACAGTTAGATTTATATACATCAGTCTGTTTAGTGCTGCAGCTCATAAATCAAAGTACCCAGGTGCAAAATAACAGCAAAAAGAAAAAACGGTATAATAAATACAAGTCATTCAGGTGTATGAATATAATAATGCCTAGCAGGCCTAGACTTGCAACATATGCAAGAGGGACACATTTATAGTTATCTTAAATAAGATCTAAGCAAAGAGAGTATGAGCGAGCGCTACCTCCAGAAATAGCCGCTGGAACACCAAAGGTAACCAAAACAACCTTCCAATATAAATGATAGAAAAAATTGCAGCACTAAAACAAGGTGATATGCATATTAAAGTGCAAAGTGATCAGTAATATTTAGATCACAACCACCTAAATAAATATCTAATAAATAAATAGATAAATACTGAATAAATAGTTATAATGTGTAAGGTAATCACCACAAGGTGATAATGGTGATAAAATGTCAAAATGAAGACGTGAGGATCCCATCAAGATCGCAATCAACGTGTATGGGTAACTGATCCAGGGGTGCCAGATGAAGTGACAGAAAACATTTAGTATAAAGGGGGGCTACAGCATCCAGGCGTCAAGCCACCGCTGGTGACCATCCTGAATATTTTACTGTTAGTTCTTTTACCTTTTATACTACCTGTTTTCTGTGGAAATAAAAGAATCCCTATATGCAGTATCACGCTATGTGGTGTCCTTCATTGGGTTCTCCATGTGAGCGCCGTCATTTGCAGAGCCCATTTTAGAGATGACCCTACGAGGTGATGCATACTAAGGGAGCCCAGAGTATCTTACACAGACGTGACCAGACTCTGTGACATCTGCCTAAGGACCTTAAAGGTGTATTGGAACCTGGCCGAACTCAGGAGCAGATGACCTGATTATACCTGATGAGACAGGATAATATCTCATATGTGTGTTTTTAGCGCACTTCTGGTGAGTGCGCATTTTGCTTACTTAGTCACTTCATCTGACACCCCTGGATCAGTTACCCATACACGTTGATTGCGATCTTGAAGGTATCCTCACGTCTAAATAAGATCTGTTTAAATAACATACCCGTATTTGCCGGCGTATAAGACGACTGGGCGTATAAGACGACCCCCTACTTTTCCTGTTAAAATATAGGGTTTGAGCTATACTCGCCGTATAAGACTACCCCTCCCCTCTTCCAACGCACACCAAATAAAAATGAAAAAACATCAGATTTGATTCAATATGGTATGGTATTTCAGTATGGTATTCCAATGATGGGGTGCTATTCCTCCCACTGACACCAATGATGGGGCACTATTCCTCCCACTGATACCAATGATGAGGCACTACTCCTCCCACTGACACTAAGGGTGCCCCATCAGTAGTGTCAGTGTGTGAGGAATAGTGTCCCATCATTAATGTCAGTGGGAGGAATAGTGCCCCATCATTGGTGTCAGTGGGAGGAATCATGCCCCATCATTGGTGTCAGTGGGAGGAATAGCACCCCATCATTGGTATCAGTGGGAGGAATAGTGCCCCATCATTAGTCAGTGGGAGGAATAGTGCCCCATGGTTGGTGTCAGTGGGGAGGAGGAATAGTGCCCCATGGTTGGTGTCAGTGGGGAGGAGGAATAGTGCCCCATGGTTGGTGTCAGTAGGGGAGGAATAGTGCCCCATCATTGGTGTCAGTGGGGAGAATAGTGCCCCATCATTGGTATCAGTGGGGAGAAAAGTGCCCCATCATTGGTGTCAGTGGGGGAGGAATAGTGCCCCATCATTGGTGTCAGTGGGGGAGGAATAGTGCCCCATCATTGGTGTCAGTGGGGGAGGAATAGTGCCCCATCATTGGTGTCAGTGGGGGAGGAATAGTGCCCCATCATTGGTGTCAGTGGGGGAGGAATAGTGCCCCATCATTGGTGTCAGTGGGGGAGGAATAGTGCCCCATCGTTGGTGTCAGTGAGGGAGGAATAGTGCCCCATCGTTGGTGTCAGTGGGGGAGGAATAGTGCCCCATCGTTGGTGTCAGTGGGGGAGGAATAGTGCCCCATCGTTGGTGTCAGTGGGGAGAATAGTGCCCCATCATTGTGGTGGAGGAGGAGGAATAGTGCCCATCATTGGTGTCAGTGTGGAGGAGGTATAGTGCCCCATCGTTAGTGTCAGTGGGGGAGAGGAGCAGCTGCTCCTTCTTTCAGTTCGGCAGCTTGATTTTCGCGGGGCCGTTCGGCTCCGCCTCCTCGCCGGTGATTGGTCGCCTGTGTGCGCTGGCGCCCAATCACCGGTGAGGAGGCGGAGCCGAGTGGCCGCGCGACCATCGGGCGGCCGAACTGAAAGAAGGAGCAGCCACGCTTCCGGGACCGGATCATCGTGGGACCAGGACCGGAGCCAGGTAAGGTACAGCAGCCCCTCTGCCAAACCCCTGTACTTAGTGTCTGTTGGAGGACACCGCCCCTGGAAAAAGTGCCACCCTGACACACCGGCTCGCCATATACCGGCGTATAAGACGACCCCCGACTTTTCAGAAGATTTTCAGGGGTTGAAAAGTCGTCTTATACGCCGGCAAATACGGTAATAATTTTTTTAGCCTGTGTACCTGCTATATTTGAATTGTATTGGGCTCCAAAGGAACTCACATGCGATATTTAGGTGCCCGGACACATTTTGCCTAAATATCACATGCAATGCTGAAACTGTCAATTCACTATATAATTTTGCGGTATTTACGCTTGGTAAATACTGCATGAACAGGTGTTAAACTCAAATCACAGAAGGAAATAAATAATTAAATGTATGAGGTAATTAACCTCCCTGGCGGTATTCCCGAGTGTAGCTCGGGGTAAAGTTTCAGTACCACAAGCGGTAACCCCGAGCTACACTCGGGCTTACCATGAGGCGCTGCTCCGCGATCCCTCGATCACTTACCTTGTCCTGCGCTTCCGCGATGTCCCTCCTGCAGTGTCCCCCGGCAATGTAATCCGACAGATGCTGGCATCTGTCATCTGGGTTCCGTCCTCTGCGAGCGCCGGGACGTACGGGGGACGGAACGGCGGGAAATTTGAAAATGACAAAAAGTGACATTCACTAAAATCACATAATAAAACATTACTGTATCAAACCATTTCACATACATTTTCTCCCGAGTGCTTTGTCCGGCGCCCTGCCTGCATTTTTACTGTTCTTTCTGCCTGGAAACTGAGAAACTTCCATGGCGTCAAAAGCGTCCCTTTAGGTCAAAAGCGGTTTTAGACCAGCTAGAGAACAGCGATAGTAAATCAGAACCACTTGCAGAATTGAGTGATAATGATTTGTGGGGGAAATTCATCATCAGACACTGAAAACGATTTTGCGACTTTGCTCAGCGATGTGCGAATTTGATCTGTATTTCAAATTTCAGTGTTTTTGGTTTGATTATATTGTTGAATTAAATTTATTATTATTATATTATTATTTTTTTATGATTATTTATTAAATTATAATTTATGATTTCGTGTTTCAAGTTTTATCCTACCCGGGATGTTTACTAGACTCTTGTTCGGACAGATTTCAGTGAGTTATTCCTAAAAATTACAGGCCTGCAATAAAAAAAATACATATTTCCATGCAAAAAATGTACCGCTTTGAGCACAGAAATATGGACATAATCAGACTGCTAGGGAGGTTAAGTAGTGGGTCCAGGCATGCGGCATTTAAGAAATGTGTAGGATTTTCACTGGTTAAGGAGCTGGAGCCTGCCGGCATCCTTAACAACCATTAAGCAAAATGGTTGTTAGAGACTGGGTGGCTTCCACGTCCTTAACAACCGATAACAGCTGAATGTAAATGAGACAGTTCCCAGCAATTAAGAATTATGAATAAAAAACAGCTTGGTATGGATTTTAAGGGGAACCCAACACCAGAATTAAAAAAAAAAAGGAGTGAGGTCCCCCCCAAATCTATACCAGACACTTTATTATTATTATTATTATTATACAGGATTTATATAGCACCAACAATTTACGCAGTGCTTTACAACATAAGGGCAGACAGTAGAATTACAATACAAATTAATACAGGAGGGATCAGAAAGCCAACTGATACAAAAGGTAATAACATTGGGGGATGGGCTGAGGAAGAAAATACATGTACAGTTGCTAGGTGGGAACAGGATAGACCTTTCTGAAGAGATGAGTTTTTAGGGAATGTCTAAAAGTGGACAGAATAGGAGACAGTCAGACACATTAGGGAAGGGAGTTCCAGAGGATGGGAGAGGCTCTGGAGAAGTTCTGGAGGTGAGCATGGGGGGAGGTGACAAAGGAGTTAGGGAGCAGGAGGTCTTGGGAGGAACAAAGGGAACAATTTAGTCAGTATTTAACCTCCCTAACGGTATTCCCGAGTGTAGCTCGGGGTAAAATGTCTATACCAAAAGCAGTAAGCCCGAGCTACACTCGGGCTTACCATGCAGCGCTGCATAGGGAGTCCCTGCAGCACTTACCTTGTCCTTGGCTCCCGTGATGTGTCCCCTGCAGCGTCCCCGGCCATCTCCTCCGGCTGATGCCGGCATCTGCCTCCTGTGTTCCGGTCCCTGTGACGTCGTGACGTACGGGCGCCGCCGGCGGGAAATTTGAAAATTTAAAAAAAATGTCATTTTTTTCAAAACAAATTTACATAGTAAAACATTGCTGTTTCAACCCATTTCACATACATTTTGTCCCGAGTGCTTTGTCCTGTCCCCTGTCTGCATTTTTACTGTTCTTTCTGCCTGGAAACTTAGAAAAGTCCATGGCGTCCAAAAAGCGTCCCTTTAGGTCAAAAGCGGTTTTAGACCAGCTAGAGAACAGCGATAGCAAATCAGAACCACTTGCAGAATTGAGTGATAATGATTCGTGGAGAAATTCGTCATCAAACACTGAAAACGATTCTGCGACTTTGCTTAGTGATGTGCGAACTTGGCGCTCTATTTCAAATTTCAGTGTTTTTGGTTTGATTATATTATTGAATTAAATGTATGATTTAGAATCTTGTTCAGACAGATTTCAGTGAGTTATTCCTAAAAATTACAGCCTACAATAAAAAAACTACATATTTCCATGCAAAATAATTGTACCGCTTTCAGCACCAAAAATATGAAATAATCATACCACTAGGGAGGTTAAGACAAGGTTTGTGATGTAGCTTGGAGGTGAGTTGTGGATGGCAACTTAGGTCTGCTATGGATTTTGAGGGAAACCCAGCACCAATTTTTTTTTAAAAAAATGGCATGGGGTCCCCCAAAATCCATACCTGACCCTTATCTGAGCATGCAGCCTGTCAGGCCAGGAAAGGGAGGATGAGCACGCCCCCCTGAACCATATCAGGTCATTCGCACTGAACATGGGGGGGTGCTTTGGAACAGGGGGCTCCCCCCCAAGGCACTTTGTCCCCATATTGATAAGGACAAGGGCCTCTTCCCCACAACCCTGACCAGTAGTTGTTGGGCCTCCAGGCAGGGGGCTTATCAGAATCTGGAAGCCCCCCAAATCCCAGTGTAAGTAAACACAGGGGGAAGTTGTTAACAAGCCTTTTATTAACCACTTACCACCCGCCCACAGTACTTTTATTGTGGCAGGGTGGCTCTGCTGCACAAAATTACGTATATATACATGATTTTGCATCTCCGTGTAGGGGGCGCATGTGAGACGTATGGCCCCCTACCCGCGCCGCCGATCGTGGACGCGGGTGTCAGTCACTGTGTCCTGGTTGGTGATTACCCACTTGCGCTCGGTGATTACCGGTAAACACCGACAGGGAGGAGTGCTGCATTGTTTACAATGCAGCCCTCCTCCCTGTCAGTTTGGGCACACTGATTGGGATGGCTGAGCACAGCCATCCCGATCAGTGTGCTTACAGTGAAACACAGACCCCCCACCCCCTAGTAAAACACTTCCATCACACAGTTAATCCTTTGATTGCCCCCAAATGTTAACCCATTCCTCCCCAGTGACATTAGTACAGTGTCAGTTCCCCCCAGTGTCAGAATGTCCGCCGCAGTCCCACAGTCCCGCAGTCCCTCTATAAGTAATTGATCGCTGCCAAATAAAAAAAAAAATTAAAATAACTTTAAAAAAAAGTACCCTCGCCCCCCCCCCCCACGCGCGAGCACCTGCGTGTGCGAGCGTTGACCCTGTGTCGGTATGTAAACAGCGGTTGCACCATGCATGTGAGGTATCGCGGTGAACGGCAGATCAAGAGCAGTAATTCTAACACTATACTTCCTCTGTAAATCTAAAATAGTAGCTTGTATGCAGTTTGTCGCCATTGCACGGGCATGAGCAATTTTAAAGCATGTCATGTTTAGTATCCATTTACTTGGCATACCATCATATTTTATATCTTACCAAATAATTGGCCAATATATTGTGTTTTTGTGCATTAAAAGTAAAAAAAGTTTATTTTTTGCAAACAATTTGCGTTTGAAAAATCGCTGCGCAAGTACTATGTGACATAAAAAATTGCAGCACCCACCATTTTATTCACTAGGGTCTCTGCTTTAAAAAAATACATAATGTTTATGGGTTCAAAGTAATTTCTTAGCAAAATATACTGATTTTT